TGAGTGGGCACACCACCACCAACACCATTTAGGGTTTGTTCTTCCATGACAGCGGAACTTCTAGCTCTGTATCATGGAATCCTCTTGGCCTAGGACATGGGTGTTCGTCAGTTGATTATCGAACTGGATTCTCTGGTTTCTAGAAAGCTTATTTCCTCTTCTGGGAATAACATGCGATTTGCAAATGTTCTCAAGCAAATTCGTGCTCTTCTTTGTCGGCCTTGGCAATTGCGTATCACCCTTGTGTACAGAGAGGGAAATCGGGTAGCAGATGGTCTAGCTAATCTTGCTGTGTTTAGTCCTATTAGGAAGCAGATTCTGTTGTTGCCTCCTGCTGCTGTTTCTGTAACACCCCTTCTCGGTCCACCCGTAAACCCGAATAAACCGAGCCGAGACGCTACAAACTGGTTGACTGAATGAACTGACATGCTGGAATCATAATGTATAATGAATCTAATATCATGCTGAGATTGCTTATAGATCCATGCTGAGAATTGCATATATAAGTTAATATGTCTTGAATATTACAAGACATATATAGTTACCAAAATGGATATCGCACGCGCAAACATCAGAATGTAGCCACTGTACATGCCAAATAAAAAGACACTAGAGATTATACTGAAGAGTATATAGATAGAACGGCAGGCAAGATATATATAACAGTAAACGGACCCTCTATGGACTAGTCTCAAAACCTGCGAGTTAAACAGGTAACTCGCTGAGCAAATAAAGCTCAGTGGATATCTCAACATGGAAAGAAACAATAAAGCACATACTTGTATATAAAGAATCATGTAGGCACACAAGGCACAGCACACATATCATGATATCTTTCATTTATCTGTATGATTTATGCAATGTTATGTCCAGATATCTGTATGGCTCCATAAGGTTATAGCGAAATCGAGGTGATAAGAAAACTGTATAAACTGGATGAATACTGTATACTTGGCTGCTATGGCCCATATAATCATATCCACTCAACGGCCTGTAGCCGGAGTAAACGGCCTGTAGCCGGAGTAACAAACTGTATGAGGCGCAAATCTGCTATCCTATGTCGCGACATGGCCTTATCGACGTGGTTTCTACCTAACCTCAATGGAGCATCATGTTGGTATGTCAAAAGTATAACACAACATCATAGAAATAGTTCATCACTTCATAAATCATAATGTTCATATGAGTTCACATCATTTGCATGCTTGCATGGTGTTTTAATACATGTTCTCATGATATATTTTGATGCTAAAATGATTGGAGGCATATATGGTAAGCAAAGGAATACAATTGCATTGAAATTGAAGTCCAAAACAAGAAAAACCAAGTCGCGAGCGCGCCTGTGGAAGTCGCGAGCGCGAGATGCAGAAAATAAGAGACAGTGTGTTATCAGGCACAAGTCGCGAACGCGTACTTGAAAGTCGCGAGCGCGTAGTGTGCCAGATGAGAGACAGTGAGTTTTCATGCCAACTACGCGAGCGCGCACTTGAGAGTCACGATCGCGTAATATGCTAATTGAGAGTCAGAGAGTTTTCATGCCAACTACGCGAGCGCGCAGTGCAAGTCGCGAGCGCTTCCAGGCCAAGGGCCAACTTCGCGATCGCGTCTTGCAAGAGTTTTCATGCCAACTACGCGAGCGCGCAACTCAAGTCGCGAGCGCTTCCAGGCCAAGGGCCAACTTCGCGAGCGCGTCTTGCAAGGTCGCGAGCGCGAGAAGAACAAAATGAGAGTCAGTGAGTTTGAAGTGAAAGTAGCGCGCGCACAGTGCAAAGTCGCGAGCGCGCAACGTGCTTCCAGCCTACGCAGTACCAGGTCGCGACGCGTTTCCAGCCTGCGCAGTCTGGACTCTTTTGATCATATCTCTCAATATACAAATCCAATTTGGGTGATTCAAAAACCCATGCAAAGCTAACACATAGAGGAACAAATAACTCTTCTATGACATAACACTTCCTAATTCCCTCATTAAATGGGGTCAAAATCAAGATGAAGTCCTCCCCTGTTTTCAACATAATCTCAATACCTCCCCTGTTTTCACATCATGTCCAATCTTCTCACTCAACAACAAGCAACATATCATCTCACTAGCAACACACCACACAATTTACATGCAAAGAAACTAGTAAACAACATGAGATATCAAACCTCCAAAAAACGCGTGAGCTCTGTTCTAGCTTCTCTTCTCTACACTCTTTCGAACTCCCTTCTCCTATAAACACATCAAAATTCTTACATTTCTACAATACTAAACTCAAGTAGAGGACTGAATACACATAAGCTGCAGGTAATTCTACGTTACAGGAGAAAATGATTGCCTAAATTGGATGGGAGAAGTAAAGAAAATTGAAGAGATGAAGAAGGATCGGCGATAAAGATAACAAGGGAAAGTTAAACAATGATGTGATTACGGGTTAAGTCATCACAAAATCAGATAAATGATGGAAAACTTACTACATGGTACCTCAAGTGGGTTAAAAAGCTACAACTTGATACTAAGCTCTGTTCTATTTATGCCATTAAATCCTAATCCTACACTTTGCTCTTTTTCTCTCAATCAAGTAAGTCCACTAATAATCCATTCTACCCAACCGGTGTTCTACCCCAACCGGGTGTGGTTCAACTCGACTCAACTCAATGCAAGACTCGACTCAATGCAAAGACTCAACTCGGTAGGATGTCACAGTTTCTGAGTATCTTGCTTCTAACAAGCAGGGGGTAGCTTGGCCTCATTTGGTTAATTGTCATTACTTTCGCTGTTTTTTTAGGTTTCTATCCCTTCCTTTGTATCAAAAACAAATAATAGTAAGTTAATTAATATTGATATTGGTAATGTCGATTCCCTGCTCTGCTATTTTGACTCCAAAAACTTGATAGCTAATTTTTGCAAGTCTACAAAATTATTAATAAAACAGAGAGTAAGATGTGTTCTCACGAGCATTATATTTAATTTAGAGAAATTGATTACGAAAATTGCTAAAAGAAATTCAATGATGAAAAATTACTATGGAATTCAATTTCAACTTAATTGGGTCTCATTTATTTCATTAGTTCAATATTATTCATGGGGTAAGAAACAACCTAAACATCATTAATAATATTTTCGAAGAATTTTAGTAATTATTTCAACTGAATTTAATTATATATTTTTCAATAGCCATGATTAAATTCAATTTAAATAATTAATATCAATGACTATTTAAAAACCTTCCATGAGTCTAATCATAGGTTTCACATTAGATTATTATTCTCATGAAATTCATTATCTTTTTCTTATCAATGATCCTCTTTCCGATAATAATTATTGAAATAAATCAATTCAAAGGAAAAATTCAATTTAAAAGCATAAAATACAATAATAAAATTTTAAATTAATAAAAAAAATTAAATTTAATATTATAAATTAAAATTAAATTAAGTTACATCAAATTCTAGTAAAAAAAATTTAGTTAGAGAAATTAAAATGAAACAAATTTGCATATGTGAACAGTAGATCTTGCTTGAAGACTTTGAAAATATGTGAACAGTATGCAGAATATGAAGATGATAAGATCCAGATCCCTTTCTTTCTTTGATTGCTAGCTTTCTTTTATATACCCTTCAATAACTTAGGTATTCTTGGAATTAATTTAGCTTTCTTTCTTTGATTTTTAAATTAATAAAAATCAAGAATTTTTTAACAGGAGAATAAACCAAGTGTTTTTTGTACTAATTATTTTCTTACAAAAATTCAATTCTTAAACCCAACACACTCCCTAATTTTACACATTTGTTAACAAGATCTTCCACAATAATAGTTGCTCGAACCAAAGATATAATTTTATAATGTTATGTTAGGGTTTTTCACTCACTGCTTCTTTTTTTTTTTTTTTTTTTTTTTTTTTTTTTTTTTTTTTTTTACAAATGGCTGGCCCAATTACTACTTTAGTTTTTTTTTTTTTTTTTTTTTTTTTTTTTTTACAAATGGGCTGGGCCCAATTACTACTTTAGTTATTTTATCATTTTTTAAATTTTTATTTTTAAAGTATAAAAATGATTATATTCATAACATAATTTATACCTATTAAGTTTCAACTATATAGTTAATTACTATTTATTATTTTGCAATAAATGAGTGGTATTGATTAAAAAATTACCTTAATTAATTTAATGTATAAGATAGCACTGTTTTGCTAAAATATAAAATAATTAATATTTATAAGTATTAATATTTTATATATTTTATATTTTTAACATTAATACTATATAATTCTTTCTATTAATATTTGATTTTTTTTTTAAAAAATATTTGATATTGAATGGTTTAAAAATAATTGCATTATTTATAATTATATTTTATTTTTTTATTATAAAATTATTTCTAATTATTTTTCATATATAATTATAAAGAAATAAAAAGGTAAAAAAAATCTAGTTAAACCAAATTGATCCGGTTTAACTGCTAATCAGTAATCATGTTGTTTTGATTTTCAGTCTGATTTTAAAACACCGATTTAATTGTATTAGTTAATCCTATCAAAAACTGGTCTAAATTTATTTGTTCCAAATAAATGGTAAAAAATGAAGAAAAAGAAAAATGATTTGTTTCCCTTCTTTCTTAATGAGTGTTAGATGAGTAGTTCGATACACTTATTTCTTAAGTAATGTCGAATGTTTAATCTTAATCTTAATGGATGGAGCTGTGGACAAGTAAATATTCATTGGAGCATTTTATTCTTTTATAGGTCGGATGAGAGCAAGATTCAGTTCTAATTCAATGAAAAAAACATTTTGATATTCAAAAGGTTTAAAAAGGAAAGTAACTGGTAAAATTAAATGTTTGAGGCTAGTATGCACCACGCTCACCGTTGCGTTTAAGAAAGAAAATATTTTGGCAAAGTTGAGTTAGGTGAACAAGTTTCAGGGTTTTAATCGCTAATCGTCATTAAATTAACTAAAACCAACCATGGTTAAGAAGAAGTTGGAGTCTACTGTTCTTAGTTCTGCTCCTTTATGTCACCAGTCACTCGTCACTATCACTTACTGTGGGTGAGTGAGCGAGTGAGCTGAGACTTTGAGTTTGGAGAGAATCAAATGCTTTGTACAAAGATATCCCATTTGTTCTTGTTTGATATCTAAAGGAAAGAAAAGAAAAGAACAAGGAATCAAATTGCCAACTAATCAAGACTTGTCTGGAAACAGAAAAAGCTTATACAAAAAGTCTGTTAATGCCACTGTCTCTGTTACTGGGTAGGGAAAGAAGAAAGAAGAATCTTTTAATCCTATTCTATCTGATATAATCTTGAACTTGAAAGGTAACTTTTTTTTGCAGTTTCTTCTTCACTGTTGTTTGTTTTTTGCATGCCATTTTCTGCGTTTGTCGACTTCAGTGTTTTTGTTCTTTTGATAAGCTTTTTGTTGTTTCCATCAGATTTAGCATATGGGTACTTTCGTTTCTGTTAAAAATTTCTTTACTTACTTGGAATTCAGTTGTTTTGAAGTTTGCTTCAATTAATGTATATACAAACACATAAATATAATAGATACACACATATGAGTTTTGCATTTCTAGCTTCAGTTTGTTTGAGTTAATTGATTTCTGGTGAATGGGAGATCCATTTTTAAGAGGGGGAGAGAGCGCCTCAGGCCATAACTGGTAGATTCTTAATTTATTTTTTGGCAGCTGGGTTTCTATGTTGGGTTGGTTCTCAAGTTCAACACTTGAGTTGTGAGTTGTATTTAAGAAGCTTTGTTGGGTTTTCAATGAATTTTAATTACGCTCTAGCTATGTTCTATTGAAGGAGAATGTGGAATTCTGAAGAACAGTCAATTACTGGGCTTAGATTTATAGTTTCTTAGCATTGTATTCTAAGAATTCCTTTCATTAGTTGTGCTAATTTATATTGTTCTTTTTTTTTCTTTTAATTTTGTAGACCTCAGTATTTTGAAAATACATCACAGGATATTCCATATCTGTCCTAACAATGGTTTCAAGGTCTTATTCAAACCTCTTGGATCTTGCTTCTGGTCAGTCTCCAACCCTTAGTCGTGAGAGGAAGAGGCTCCCTCGGGTGGCAACTGTTGCTGGAGTATTGTCTGAACTAGACGATGAAAACAGCAACAGTGTAAGCTCTGATGCTCCCTCATCTATCTCTCAAGAGCGGATGATCATTGTGGGAAACCAGCTTCCTCTTCGGGCATATAAAAGTCCAGATGGCAGTGGGGAGTGGTGCTTTAGCTGGGATGAGGACTCACTTCTTTTACAACTCAAAGATGGTCTTGGAGAAGATGTAGAAGTTATCTATGTTGGTTGTCTTAAAGAAGAGATTGACCTCAGTGAGCAAGATGATGTAGCTCAAATATTGCTCGAGTCTTTCAAATGTGTCCCGGCTTATATCCCTCCTGAACTTTTTAGTAAATTTTATCATGGATTCTGTAAACAACATTTGTGGCCTTTATTTCACTACATGCTCCCACTATCACCTGAACTTGGTGGCAGGTTCGATAGATCTCTATGGCAGGCTTATGTTTCTGTGAACAAGATATTTGCAGACAAAGTAATGGAAGTGATTAGTCCTGATGATGATTACGTGTGGGTTCATGACTACCATTTGATGGTTTTGCCGACATTTTTGAGGAAGAGGTTTAATAGGGTGAAGCTAGGGTTCTTCCTTCATAGTCCATTTCCATCATCGGAAATATACAGGACTCTTCCTGTTAGAGATGAACTTCTGAGAGCACTTCTTAATGCTGATCTTATTGGGTTTCATACTTTTGATTATGCAAGGCACTTCCTCTCTTGCTGTAGTAGAATGCTTGGTCTTTCTTATCAATCTAAGCGTGGTTATATAGGGCTTGAGTATTATGGTCGCACTGTAAGCATAAAGATTCTTCCTGTTGGGATTCATATAGGCCAGCTCCAATCGGTGCTAAATCTTCCTGAGACAATATCCAAGGTTGCAGAGCTACGTGATCAGTTTAGAGGTCAAACTGTTATTGTTGGTGTTGATGACATGGATATCTTTAAAGGAATCAGCTTGAAACTATTGGCCATGGAACAATTGCTCATGCAACATCATGACAAGAGAGGTGAAGTTGTTTTGGTTCAAATAGCCAACCCTGCAAGAGGCCGAGGAAAGGACGTGCAAGAGGTCAAATCTGAAACTAAAGCCACAGTGAGGAGGATTAATGAGACATTTGGAAGACCAGGATATGATCCAGTGGTTTTAATTGACAAACCACTCCAGTTCTATGAACGCATTGCTTATTATGTCATTGCAGAGTGTTGTCTTGTCACTGCAGTGAGAGATGGGATGAACTTAATACCCTATGAGTATGTTATATGCAGGCAAGGAAATGAAAAGCTGGACGAGACATTGGGGCTAAACCCCATGGCCCCAAAAAAGAGCATGCTAGTTGTTTCAGAGTTTATAGGGTGCTCCCCATCATTGAGTGGAGCAATTCGAGTGAATCCATGGAACATTGATGCTGTAGCTGAAGCTATGGATTCTGCTTTAATAGTCCCTGAGCCAGAAAAACAAATGAGGCATGAGAAGCACCATAGGTATGTGAGTACTCATGATGTTGCATATTGGGCACGTAGCTTTCTTCAGGATCTGGAGAGGGCCTGCAGGGATCACTTGAGGAGGAGGTGCTGGGGTATTGGATTTGGTTTAGGTTTTCGAGTAATTGCCTTGGATCCAAATTTCAGAAAACTTTCACTTGAACATATTGTATCAGCTTATAAGAGGACCAAGAATCGAGCAATTCTTTTAGATTATGATGGTACTATGATGCTTCCAGGTTCAATTAGTACCACTCCTAATGCAGAGGCTGTTGGAATCTTGAACAATTTGTGTAGAGACCCGAAGAATGTTGTTTTTGTTGTCAGTGGGAAGGACAGGGCGACACTAACTAAATGGTTTTCTTCTTGTGAAAAGCTTGGGATTGCAGCTGAGCATGGTTATTTTGTGAGGTACACATTGCTTCCTCTCTCTTTGTGTGACATTTGGTCATTTTCTTTCCTTTAGAGTCTGTTTGAAGTGGAGATTAAAGCTACTTTTTTGAAAAAAAAAAAATTTTTTTTTAGATGTTGGGGAAAGTGATTTGTGATTGTGTTTTGAAGCCTTTTTTTTTAAAGATTAGAGCATGTGAAATTTATCCTAAAAGCAAAATTTAATGGCTTCTAACCAATATTTCAACAGAGTATTTTTATATAGTGACTCAAATGTTAATGTAAAATGGACCCTTGATATGAGACGTTGACTTCTAAATTCTCAGTTACTGGTTAAGCTTCAATTATTTCATAGAAAAAATTAAGCTACAATGTTTGTTGATTTCTCAATGTATGTTGTTATATAGAACATCATGAAACATAATGCATTGATTCCAAAATCAGCCAAGAAATCCGGAATTAATTTAATGGTTGTTCCCTAAGTGATCTTGCTTAAGTCAGGTGGCCAAAGTTCAAGGAAACATGATGATTTTGTATTTCAGAAAATGTAACACCTATGTGAAAAAATTTAAGAAAGTGAAGCACTTGTGAAACAATTGAAGGCGTTACAAATTTTAATTGAATTAGCTCTAGATTCAGACAGTGATGGATTTTTCTCAGTTGGGCTTGATAAATAATATTATGGCTACTGATGTCTACTTCTAGACAAAAGTCATGCGACTATTTAAAGTATCTCCTACCCCCAAGTATGGATGTTCATCAGGTTGCATTGGACCCGATGACAAGATTCCTTATGCCAGAAACATCGGAACTTTTAAAATATATTATGGAAGAACTATTAATCTCATGAGTTATGAAGAGATTCAGCAATAAATTTTTGCAACCCAATTGAACCTGATGAACAGCCCTACCCCTAAGAATTGGATTTCCTACTTCAGGTAAAGGAAGAGCGTAGCAGTTGAGGCATTGACTCTGGCTATTCTTATGTAGGACAACACATTTTATCCCATCTTATATCTAAAAGAGGTCCCAATTATTACAGGCCAAACCTTGATGCAGATTGGGAAACATGTGTGTCTGTGCCAGATTTTTATTGGAAACAGATTGCTGAACCGGTGATGAAACTATACATTGAAACAACTGATGGTTCTGCCATTGAAACCAAAGAGAGTGCCCTTATTTGGAATTACCAATATGCAGATCCGGACTTTGGCTCTTGCCAGGCAAAGGAGCTTCTAGATCATCTAGAAAGTGTTCTTTCAAATGAGCCAGTTTCTGTCAAGAGTGGCCAACATATTGTAGAAGTTAAACCTCAGGTTCGTGCTACAGTTATTTCTTCCCAATATTAGTTGATATTATTGTTAACTTCTGCAAATGCTTTAATGTATTTCAACTAATCAAATGTGAGAAGGGCAAATTGGGGAGGTACTTCAAAATCTATTGCATGTTCATGTGTTGATGTATAACTAGGGAGATTGGTTATGTATCTCATACTGTCCTTGTTTGATTAATTTCTTAATCTCTTTGAAACTCATGCTATAGGCATTTTACCTTTGGTTTTTAATAGATTGGTGTTTTGTATTGGGGGAAAAGTTTAAACCAAATCAGCGATTTAGAAGGAACTCCAACCAAACCAAGCTGAATCATGTGAAAAGCCAAATCAAACAAATTGATTAAGGTCACTCTGCTTTGACTTGATTTTTCAGTTTAAAAATTATTTGAACTTTTACATAGATCATAGAAAAAGCAAATGGTTTAATTTGATTAGGTTTACTTATCTTGGATGATACGGCCTATTTGAAGAAGTCTATTTTGATAATCTAGTCTAGCTTATTTTCATTATTCCTTATGACTACATCATATCAGGTCATATTTGACATCACGCCTCTGAAATTAAAGAATTCATAGATTCTTTTCACGAATGAGCCTTATGATTGGCCTCATTTTCTAATGTAAATTTAGAAACTTGAGATGAGAAAGAAAAGGACCAGTGTTTGGTTTGCTGAGGAAAACTTCAGCTATTTGCTGCTGGTGTGGTAGTTCAAGTCCCAAGGGCTGCCTTGTGCAAATCGGAGTAGAAGTAGGACTATAGCAAAGTCACACACTGATGGCTCATTTGAATGCAGCAAGCATTGTTTTTGACTAACTCCCACAAAATATTATTTTTCTTCAGTGTTTCTTTTTATAAGAATCGGTTTATATTTTAAAAATGCATAATGAATTTACATTAGTACATATCAGCGGCTTGAAAATGTTTGTCCTGTAAGGAATTGCTGAGGATCTATTCTCAGTCTGTCTCTCTCACTTTCGACTCTTTGAAGGCAGTGACATAGGCTGATATGTCTTTGTGTGGTTGCCACAGCAATAAAGTCTCGATTTGCAGCTTAAATTTAATAAATTTACTAATTGCTTACCTCATGCAGGGTGTGAACAAAGGGGTCGTGGCACAATGCCTCCTCGAGACAATGCAACAGAAGGGAATGCTTCCTGATTTTGTTCTCTGCATTGGAGATGACCGGTCAGATGAAGACATGTTTGAGGTGATAATGAGTGCCAGGGCAGGACCTACTCTTTCACCAGTTGCTGAGGTATTCCCTTGCACTGTTGGGCAAAAGCCGAGTAAGGCCAAGTACTACCTGGAAGACACATCTGAGATTTTGAGAATGCTGCAAGGCCTGGCAAATGCTTCAGAGCAGGCTGCTAGAAGTACTTCCCAATCGTCACACTCACACGGGGTGACAATTGGTAGAGATTAAAAATGCACCGTGGCTTTGCATTGGTTCTTCTTGAGACGAGATGTTCCATGTTTGAGGATTTCCTCAACCCCTGGGCTTGAAGAAATTGATGTCTGGTGCTTTTAGTTAGGTCTTGGTATGTCCATCGGATGGTACTCGATGTTTCTGTTGAAGTAAATAGATTGCTTTCTTTTATTAATATGTTTTGCTCTCATTAGAAAATTGGTTAGTTTATCCAAGTCGTTACTTTATTAATATGATTGGAGGGGCTAAACCATTCTGGATACTCCAAACTTTAGGAGTTGTAACAATTACACCCCAAAAATGAACTTAACTCAAACTCACCATTATTGACCTTCAAGTGCCTGAAGTTGCCGCTCGCAACGAAGAAGAACCTGCTTGCAAAGAGGAAGAATATCGATCCGTCTCTAATTCGCGAGAGATTAAAGATGTTGAAACGCCATTAATGGTTTTTAGTCATGGAGGTGAGTGAACGGCAAGCGACTAATAGTACGTCATTATTTTGTTTTTCTTATCAAACGCCATCAATGATTTTCAGTGTACGTGGCGTTTTGAGAGACAAACAGCAAGAACATGCTTGGTTAAGCATGTACTGTGTCGACCTAGAAGTAAAGAGACAAAAATTGCAAACGGTAGCGTTTTAAGAAGTGGGTTAATGGGTTGGTTAAATTGGGGTGTCCAGAGTCAAAATAGGTGCACTTTATACAAAAGCTTAAGTCAGGTTTTTAATTTTTAAATGAATTACTCTTCCAGTCATGATTCAGTCAACCAAACTTCCAGTCAGATTCACTCTCTCTCCCTCACTCTGATGTTAGATCTTCTTTTTTTTTTTTTTTTTTTTTTTTTTTTTTTTCAGTCAACCAAATTTCCAGTCAGATCACTCTCTCTCCCTCCACTCTTGATGTTTAGATCTTCTTTTTTTTTTTTTTTTTTTTTTTTTTTTTTTTTTTTTTTTTCATGTATTTCACCGATTTTGATTGGGTTGTTTGTGAATTTTTAATTGTAGTTTAAATCTGTCCATTTCGGAGATCACTTTTGTTTTAGCCTGTAGGTGGGTTTTCTTGCCACCGATGATTGTTTTTTCTTGGTTAATTTTTTTTATGCTTTTCGCTTTTATTTTTTTAATTTTTTTCAAGTCGCCTTACGCTTCTTATCGACACTGTTTGGTCCCTGAGAATATGAAGGAAATGTGCAGAAACTTGATTTTTTTTTAAAAAAAAAAAAAAATTACATCTTTTAAGTGCATAATCTCAACTATCAAGAGTGTTTATATATGAAATTTAGGAGCTAGGAGGCGAGAGGCATGGGGGTTAGCTAATTGTTGCATATGGCTAAATCCATACCAAAACCTGGCGTTTTTTGTGTGTTGCTGACTCAAGATGAGTTAGCTAACTTAGATCGGGCCAAAGTTTATTATTTTTTAAAGCTAATTTTGACCAATTTTGAAATTGGAGTGCATTATAACATAAATTTGAAATTGGGGTGTCTCGGAGTTAAGTTCATTTTAAAGTGCAATTGTTATAATCATTAAAGTTTGGGGTATCCGGAATGGTTTAGTCACTTGGAGGAGTCATAACTTGATCTAATCGTCAAAGTTAGATCGGATTTACTTACCTAGACTTAGGGATGGTAATTTTACCCGACCTAGCAGATACCGATTCGATATGATTTTAGCAGGGTTCACGTAGTGAATAAATTGATTTGGGATGGATACAGACAATTTATTGGGTTCGAGTTTAATGACTCGGGTACTCATTATCCATTTAATTAATATTCAAAAAATATATAAAATAATTATTATTTTTAAAAAAAAGGAAGTTTATATACACCTTTTTAATTATAAGTATGGCTATAATTTTATAATTTTTACTTCCTTTTTATTTTTAAATTAAAAAAATATATATTTTTAGTATTTAAATGAGTTTAGATATTTAAACGGGTGATAATAATTGAGTTTAAATTTGAGTAGTGCATTTTAAGTGGGTACCCGACCCATTGCCATCCCTACCTAAACCTGCTTCATGGCTCCACTTTGAACTAAACCAATGAAAAATAGAATTTTGGACATAGAATTTTTGTTGAAACTATGATATTTTTAACTATATATTGGGTGAAAAAAAATAAAAAAGGAACAATTTTTAAAAAATTATCTTTTATTTTAAAGGATTAAAGTAGGACAAAGTTAGATTGGGTTTTCATTTATTTTGGTATTAGGTTGGGTTATATTTTTTTTTTTAAATGAATTTTTAGAATGCATGTGATAAGCTAAAATAAGATGTAATTAAACGTTTTATAAGGATATAATGTTAAGATAAATGTATGCAATGTATTACGCTGGAAGCTTTCTTTCTCAATATTTAAGAAATGAAATAAAGGTCAATTTGGTTTTTTGGGCTAATTTGACCCTTTAAACTTGTATAAAATAATTAAAAAGATTCGATTTCACTTTTTAGGCCAATTTAATCATGGAACTTATTTTGATTTTTATAAATTAATAATTGATTTAATTTAACATGATTAACTTTTTATCCCTTTCTGTCTTACACTAAGATCAAACTTTTCCAACACTTATAAATATAAATTTAAAATCCATAAAAACATAATTTCTTGTAATATAATAAATTTAGAAACATGCATTATAACTTTAATTTATTCAATATGAAAAATGTATAGATTTTATAAGTGACAACCTAAGAATAGTGGTTAATTTTAAAATGTTCAAATTAATACATATTTATAAACTCAAAACCATCAATCAAGATAAAGAGAGATACAATATATTTCATATATCATTTTCTTATATGTTATAATTAATTAATTTTTTAATAAATTAGTCATCTCAATCCCAATTACAGTCTTAATAAATATCTATATAATGATTTCACATTGTAAGTACAATGAAGAATAGAGGTTAAATTAATTTAAAATGTCAAATATGATTTTTTTAATCATTGTTAAATTAATTTAAATGTCAAATCATGTTTTTTTAATCTTTTAAATAAATTTCAACGAATTAAATTGACCTAAAAAAAGTGAAATCAGATCTTTTTAATCATTTATACAAGTTCAAGAGTTTATTTTTAATCATTTTATACAAGTTCAAGAGTTAAATTGGCTCCAAAATTCAAATCTAACATTTTTTATACTGTTAAACAAGTTGGGGGAATAAATGTATAAAAATTATATACATATATTTTAAAGATATATTTGACAAACAAAAGCAAAATGTAATTACATTAAGAATATATTTAATCATATTACATTTATTAAATTAATGATAGACCGGTAATTGTTCTCAATAGCAACATTTTTGAAAATCAGGAATAGAGCTAAATTAAGTCCATAAGGGATAGTAACTAACTAGTAAGCGCTGCTGCAGTCTCTACCCAGTGGATGGTTTATGCAACGCTGCTTGCCAAGGTGACTGGAGTTTTTATAGGTTTAAATTATAAAAATATCCTGAATTTTGTGACTTGTTGTAAAATCACTTTACTTTGACCTTTGTATTTCGGGCACCAGAGTCTTGAAAAATTTAAAAGTGCTATAGAATTTTAAATAAAATATTATATTATTGGGACCAACTAGTTATCTTTTGGTTAACTTAACTAAGGAACTAAAATGCACCATTTCTCTTGCTCAATTTCTTTTTTTTTTTTTCTAATTTTTATGAATTATTAATTTCATTCCTTTCTTTTTGTGATTGTTATTTTTGAGATTTGGTCTCTCTCGAAATATTTCTTTTTTTCTTTTGTTTGTTTCGTGTAGTTGAATCTTGAAAAGGGGCTTGTAATTAAAAAGAACTACCTGTCTTTTTTTCTTATTACCAATTTGTCGCTTCTCTTCCTCTCAAGGCATCATGGCTTTCTTTCCATAGCTTATACAACTATGCCATCCACTCGAGTAATGAAATCATTTTTATCAATTACTTGTTTAGAGATTGATGGTTTTAGGAGAGACAAAGTGTTTTAATTATTTACAAAATTTTGCGTTTTAGTTCCTTTGGGTCAAGCTAACCCAAAGATAATTAATGGGTCCCACTAATATAATATTTTATTTAAAACTCTAGGATAGATAACTATTTTTGACTTATTCTTGTTTTAGTTGATAGTAGTAGCTATCATGATCTATTTTCTTACATTCTGTTGCTTTGTAAAAGGGTATTTAAAGCCTAACTTAAGATTCAATAATTAGCAAGTATTATATTCAGTTTGATCAAAATTATTTTAAAACAATTCTTTTACTCTACAAACTGGTTTCAGAGCCCCCATTAGGCCTGATAAAATAGAGAGAGAGAGAGAGAGAGAGATAAAAACATAGTAAGATAAGTGAAGAGAATAGTTCTACAAAGATTCCACACTTTGATGGTCTCCACTACGACTATTGGAGTGAATTAATGGAAAATTTGCTCAGAGCCAAAGGGTTGTGGAGTCTGGTTGAAAATGGATTTAAAGAGACTTAGCTGGGAACAGTGCTGACAAATGCATAGCAGGAGCAGTTGGAGAGTGAGAGGATAAAAGATCACAAGGTGAAAGACTACCTCTTCCAAGCTATTGATCGAGCAGTTTCAAGTTTTGGATAGGCGCACATCGACAATTATTTAGGATTCGTTGAAAAGAAAATTTGGAGGGAATGACCGAGTAAAAAGATTTCTTCTAAATTTTTTGAGAAGAGATTTTAGGTATTAGAGATGAAAGAAGGAGAGACGATCACAAAGTATTTTTCCAGGGTCATGGCAGTGACAAATAAGATGAGAAGCAAGGAGAAGAAATGCTTGATTCCAAAGTGGTTTAGAAAATTCTTCGAACTTTGACGCAAAGATTACCTATGTGGTAGTATCAATTAAAGAGTCCAAGAATACTAAATCTCTCTCAATCAATGAGCTGCAAAGCTCTCTTGTAGTTCACGAACAAAATTCAAGAGAGTAATCAGCCGTGAAAGTGATCATGCTCTCAAGGTGCAAGATCGAGCAGGAGGTAGAGGCCGTGGAAGAGGACATGGAAGAGGATGCCAAACCTTCACCAGAGCAACAGTGGAATGCTTCAAGTGTCATGATCTAGGACACTTTCAATATGAGTGTCCCAAGTGGAATAGGGAAGCCAATTATGTTCAATTAGACGAAGAGGAAGCGCTACTGTTGATGACATACATCAAAAACTAGAATGCAAAGAAGAGTGCACCTGGTTTAGTGACTCAGGTTGTTCGAATCATATGTGTGGCGATAAAGGTATGTTCTCAAGTTTAGTAGATGAAAGTAAACATTCGATGAAGTGTGGCAACAACACTAGAATGATAGTAGCCAGAAAGGGTACTGTAAAGTTGGTGTTTAATAGTACAAGCTTTGTTATTAGAGATGTTTACTATGTCCTTGAACTTAGAAATAACTAATTTACTCGTAGTATTGGCAAGATACATAAGTGCACCAATTGCATTGAGATATGATACTTCAGGACCAAGATTTTCCTCTTTGTTTTTTAGAGGTCAAAATGGATCTTTATTTATATCAAGTGATCAAACAACCATTGGACTGCTTAA